ATAGAGGACAATTTGAGGGGTGCCAAAGAGTAGCTCTACTTTCACCAGCTCCAGCGTTGTGCAGGTATGACATCCTCATGTATCTATCAGGCAAACAACTGCTGAGAATCATTTCAAATATTTTGGAAATCGGTCAGTTTAAATCCTGGCTCCATCACTCACTGGCAAAGTGAGCTTGAATAGATTATTCTATGCCTTAGCTTCCTAATCTGTAAAATGAGAATATTAATAGTGCTTACCTTATAAGGAGGGCTTTAGTGCTAAATGAATTAATATATGTTAATCACTTAGAAAACTGCAATTACAAATAGATAGCCAGATCCCAGGGTGAGGGCAAGGTGGGCTTGGGCTACTGTGAAGAGGTGCTAGAGGGCTCAAACCCTTCCTGCCTTCCTTCCTGTACCCCAGAGGGGGTTGTCCAGCCTAATGAAGGATCTAGATAGGGTGGAGAAGGAAGGAAATGGGTCTGAGCCTCACCTGGTGACAGACACAGACTGGCAGGGGATATCATAGGGACCAAGCGCCCTCCTTCTCTGGCCACCCCCGCTGCTGCCAGTACAGTGGAGTGGAGCAGTAAGCTGCCAACAACTGCTAGATGTGATTGTTGTTGTTATCTGTCAGTTTATCTTTGTACCTCTAGAACATTCTTGGCAAAGTAAAGATTTTCATAATGTGTCAAATGACATGTATATACAATCATTCATTCAGTATTGCAAAAGAATGGAAAAAATCTAGATTATGTGATTTAATTCCATAAATTTTGACATTTCAATGTGGAATGCTAGCCAGTTATAACAAAGAATTAAGACACTTTTTATTAAATATGAAAATATCCCAAGATATGTTTTTAAGTATAAAAAAAGCAATATGCAGATCTGTGTTTTATTGTTATCATTTGGAGGGAAAAAAGGAGAGAATAATGTACCTTAATATTTGTGCCTAATTTACCCAATACTTGCTTATATATGCATAAAAGATTTCTAGCAACAAATAAACTAAAAAATTTAGCACGTAATTTCTAGTTGGAGAACAAGAACTGGCAGATAGAAGATGGGGTGGAAGAATAACTTTCGTGCTATATATTTTGTTCTTAAATATTTTAAACCAAGTCCCTCCCATGATTACACAACTCTGTTTTATTTAGGTTTATTATTAAGATTACAATTATCATTATTTTTTTTTTGTAATCAGCATTTTATGAATGTAAGAAGGGACCCTGGAGAAACCTAATAGAAANTCTTTGTACCTCTAGAACATTCTTGGCAAAGTAAAGATTTTCATAATGTGTCAAATGACATGTATATACAATCATTCATTCAGTATTGCAAAAGAATGGAAAAAATCTAGATTATGTGATTTAATTCCATAAATTTTGACATTTCAATGTGGAATGCTAGCCAGTTATAACAAAGAATTAAGACACTTTTTATTAAATATGAAAATATCCCAAGATATGTTTTTAAGTATAAAAAAAGCAATATGCAGATCTGTGTTTTATTGTTATCATTTGGAGGGAAAAAAGGAGAGAATAATGTACCTTAATATTTGTGCCTAATTTACCCAATACTTGCTTATATATGCATAAAAGATTTCTAGCAACAAATAAACTAAAAAATTTAGCACGTAATTTCTAGTTGGAGAACAAGAACTGGCAGATAGAAGATGGGGTGGAAGAATAACTTTCGTGCTATATATTTTGTTCTTAAATATTTTAAACCAAGTCCCTCCCATGATTACACAACTCTGTTTTATTTAGGTTTATTATTAAGATTACAATTATCATTATACTTTCGTGCTATATATTTTGTTCTTAAATATTTTAAACCAAGTCCCTCCCATGATTACACACCTCTGTTTTATTTAGGTTTATTATTAATATTACAATTATCATTATTTTTTTTTGTAATCAGCATTTTATGAATGTAAGAAGGGACCCTGGAGAAACCTAATAGAAAACAATTAAGAGAAGAGATATTAAGATGCAATTGCCAAAAAACATACTTCATAATTTTTTGAGAAGTTGGTAGACCCACTTAAATTTTGAATAGTAGTCTGTCTTCCCATGGTCCACCTCTCTGGTTTTATAGCTTATACTGCCCAAGGTCCTAAAGATTTCTGAAAACTGGAAGATTTTTTCCCTCAACAGTAGGTTCTATATACAGTTGGTTGTATGATTGGAAGAGACCAGTGCTTCTAGACTTCTAAATACTTAGTTCAGACTTTCCAAATCTTCTGGCAAGATCAGTTAAGATACGGAATGTGTAAATCCTCCTCACAGGCCAGCCTGTTTGCAAGACAGAGAGCTCACAAAAATGAATAGAGGAGAATGAAGAAAACCTTTGAAGACTGACAACACAACACAAGACACCATGTCCAGTAAGACTCACAGCTTTATTTCTGCTCGGAAAGAAAGGAGGAAAAACAGTCATTTTTTAAAAAAACAAAAGATTTAAACAATTCCTTTGCTTTGTCTAAAAAAGTCCCCAGAAGAATGAGACAACTCTGGGTTAGAGTAGGCTCTTTCCAAGCATACTGCATTTCTAAATTTTAATGTAATTATAAAAGCCCTCTGCATAACCCCAAGGAAGCCTGGTTAATAGATGCCATACTCCCCAAAGGCATAAACAACAGATTCCTAAAAAATTACTCTGGTTCACCTTAGACTGAAGGAAAAAAAATCTAAAAACATTAACTTGCATAGCCATTCAAATTATTGCTGTTTTTTATAAAATCATTATAGGTAATTTTGTACTAACTTCCTCCTTTCCCCTCACTACAAAACTCAGGACTTACTAGCAAAATTATGGGCTACTTTCCAAATGAAGCTTTAGTGAGGGTTCACAAGCACATCTATAGAGCCTAGGAATTTGCATGAAAGGAAGGGAGAGATAAATTAAATAAATAATATCTAATAAATAACCCTAACAACATTTATTATCCACAAACTTAAATTCCAGAAAATGCTAGCTTCAAGGATAGATCCTCCCACAGCCTCTCATAAAGGTAAGTGGCACTATATACTCAGAAAGCACATAGGATGGTTTTATAAATAATTTTACTTGTCTATTTCCTCTAGGGCAGATCACGATGAGAGGAAACATTTCGGTGGCTGGTGGGGTTTAAGATCTCTCTGCAAGGCAACTTTCAAGTGGATCTACGGACCAAGGGTGCAAAATACAGCAGGGTAAGTGCTGCAAGCAAAATGGAAAGAAAATAACTTAGACTGTGAGGAGATAATAAATAAGAGGAATAAAAAGACAAGATACACATATCATTTGGTAGATTTTAGGAGATAGCTGAGCTGTAGAAAATGGCATGCTAATCTATCTCATCGGTTTATTTGTCGGCCCTATTGGTATACTCTTCATCCCAATCTTATCCTCTCTGGCAGAAGCAGGACCCGATCCACTATCAAATAAGCCATTTAGGCTTGATTTAACTTAAATAATTGTCCCAGAAAATTGAACAGGATAGTAAAATTTCTAAGATCTCACCTCTGGGAAAAGATAAATTCAACAAAGTTAGCGCTAATACAAAGGAAAAAAGAGTTACATGAGGAAAAAAATATCCTTGAAATTGGGTTAACCCTGTGATGAAGACAGATTGATAAAAGCATTCATTGACCTTGGATTTCATTTCTGCATCCCTAAGTCTGGCTGCTTGAAATGTAATCAAAATATGCAACAACATATTATAACTTAGAAGGTAGAAAGAGGTAACAATTGGTGATCAGGGAGATAAGAAATTGCATACATGTTGGAAAAATTCAAGCTCAGTCTATAAATTGATTGGTGCTGGTGCTTCTAGAAAATATGATATGGGTGTGGACAGAGGTCAGTGGTTTTAACCATGTTTACTTTAACCAAATAAAATCATCTTGCTAAAGAAAATCCAGTGGTCTTCCAATGGGCAAATGTAAGCCGGAGAGAGACTAAAAACTATGATAGTGTGTAGCCAATAGCTATTTTATTGCTCTTTAATATAAACCTGGATAACCAAATAAAATCATCTTGCTAAAGAAAATCCAGTGGTCTTCCAATGGGCAAATGTAAGCTGGAGAGAGACTAAAAACTATGATAGTGTGTAGCCAATAGCTATTTTATTGCTCTTTAATATAAACCTGGGTTTTGTGCTGATTCCAATAGCAGCACCTGAGCTTTATCAGAATTTCCAAGGCCCTCTAGTCACGGAGGCCATGAAGTGGTCTGGATGACTCCTCCACGTCCCAGTGGTCAGAGAAGTCTGAGGTTTCACTGACTTGCTTGCACTACCTCTAGTACTTAGAAAAGTGCTTTAAAATATTATCAAGAATAAAGTTGGCAGGAGGCCTCTATTATGGTTCTCAAATGACTAAGGAAGATATATTCAACTTTCAGTTCCAGAGTAAATAGAGCCAATCTCTTAAAGAACATGCTCTGTTATTCACAGTGACAACCAAGTTAGTACTTTAGCTTCTGGAAGCTATTTTTACATAGATGCAAAGTCTTGTCTTAAGTTCAAACACACTTTGCATTCTGTCAGCCAAGTGACAGGCACCTTGTGCTGCCTTTGGCAATTCCACTTGATCATTCTATGCGTAGTGTCCATTTCCTGCTATTGCTCTATTCTCTCAGTTTCAAGAACTTTATAAGAGTGATCACCAAAGTTACAGAATTTCAGAACCATGAAGGACTTTAGAAATCATCTAGACTTAACACAATTGCCTCATATTACCGGTAACTAAACAAAGGCCAGAAATGGAAAGTCAATGAGTGTTTGGCACCACTGGAATATGTCCCAGGTCTTCTGTTCTATTTCCACATGATTTTAAGCCATCAAATCTTAAAATAAAGAAATCAATACGACATGAGAAGTTGATGAGAAAAAAGGGTGACAGATGTGGGCAGGCCTATTGATATCTACCGATAGGGTTCCCTTAACATCATTGAATTTTCACCTCAACCCACTTGAATTATGTAAGATGTCCCCACATCATTCTCTGAAATGCTGTTCTTACTGCCCTAATCAGTGAAGATTGTATTGAGTTGGGTCCCAATACCATGGTGGGGGTAGGAATCATAAGACATGTCTATAGGAACATCATAGCGGGGGGTACCAGCCTGAAAAGGAGTTGAATGCACATGCCCTGAGCTTAGACTTGCAGAGGGGTAATGTGGCATGAAGCTATAGGATTTTTCCAGGTCAGGAGAGCCATCTTGCTTCAAGGAGAAGTTCCCACTGATGCTCAGGGGTGGAGTGAGTGGGCCCTCATAAGGGGGTGTACTACAGTCAGGTGGATGACTCCCAAAGGATGATTCTCCCAAACTCTTGAAAACTTGGGGCTTGAGATGAAGAAGATGTGTTTCCATATGGCCATATGGAGGGCTGGGGAGCCCTGGTGACTGATAGTTGAAGTTGTGGACAGAGATAGCAGAGTCACAAATAGAAGATTTTTCTTCATGCTTCTCCGGGAGGACAGACTGAGGACCAAGTTGAAGGCATCCAGCCACCAGGTTACTTGTAGGCTGAGAGAGCCCTTTACAGAGCATCTCCACAAAGCCCTTCCCTTCTGGTGTCTGGCCAGTCTCCAGGACTTCAGACAAAGCCCAAATATAGTTCCTGGCCAGTCTAAGAGTCTCTATCTTGGAAAGCTTTTGGGTTTTAGAGTAACATGGCATGACTCTCCTCAGGTTATCCAGGGCATCATTCAGGCCATGCATCCTGGTCCGTTCTCTTGCATTGGCCTTGACTCTTCGAGCCCTGAATCTCTCAAGGCGAGCTTTGGTCATCTTCTTTTTCTTGGGACCCCTTCTCTTAGGTTTCTCGCCATCATCTTCCTCCTCTTCATCCTCTTCAATACTGTCATGCTCTTCAGTTAAGCTGCCAAGCATCCCATAAGCACTTGGTCTTCTCTCCTCCTCCTTCATCTCACTTTGAGAGCCCAGACCTTTGTCCATCCAGGATGGCGCATTGACCAGCTCCACCATCTCCTTGGATTTCACGTAGGTTTTTGCCATTTCCAGATTCTGTAAAAGAGAAACAGCAAAGGTTAATTTCTGTGAACTCCTGTTTAGATTTAAAACTAAACTTTCTTTTTATACTTTGGATATAGAACACACAGTTTGCATTGGGATTAAACTTATAATTATCTTCTGCAAGGCTTCCATTCCAAATGACTAATCCAAGACTCAAAGAAATGCCCAGGACACTCACTAGCTATGGCATATTATAAGAAAAATCAGTAATAGAAAAAGAAGATTGACTTGATTATTCATTGCAGTGTTAGTGCCTAACTCTTTATTCTCAGGGTTTTTTTAATCTCATGTATATTTCAAAGAAAAATAACTGGTGTACCCAGTCCAAACATATTTTTCCTTCTTTCCAGAGTTTATAACATAAAGGGAAATAGACAACATGAGCATATAAATTATTGTCCACATAGAAAAATTTCTGAAAGTAAAAGAGGATGCTAAAATAATTATTATTGTATAATATCTATATAATAATTATTATCACAAATTAAAAAGCATATCAAGCAACTGCACCATAAAATAAGTGAAAACTGTAGCAAAATCATTTAGACTACCTATGTTCCACAAAGGACTGTTAAGCCTTTATTTAGAGGCATTTAACATACATCTAACTGATAATATCCTGTGTTTCTCACTGGCACTGCCAACTGGCGGCTTCAAACATCTCCTAGGAAATGGCCATCGCACAACTTGCTGGTACACCATAAAGCCATCAGACATTTCTCTCACCATCACCAGAAGAACATTTTGTTTTTCAGTAAGCACCTTGTGTTCTGTCTAATGTTAGTGGTGTTAGAGATGCAAGTGACATGGTATCTTGAAAGGATCAGGAAAGGAAAGTAGGATTATCACAGATCATCTTTCAGACTTGCCCATGTGTTAAAGTGAAAACTCTTTTCATTGCATATGCATCTCACACCATCAGACATGACCACAGCAACAGCTAGAAGTACAAGCCAGTGGTCTACCAAACCCATCCAAGATTATTTTAGTGCAGCTACTATAATACTTTATTAAAAATGAAACATCTGGAACAAATGCGAAACTAAAAAGAACATAGTGACTACAGACATAAATGAAGACTATTTAAGGAAAACACAGAAATAGCCTGACTACTTTTATTCACTTGCCTAATAGATGCTGTTTAATCAGAATTTTCTATGCAAACTTTGCTATTTGAAAACTATTTAAAAACCAGAGTGACTGGTGGTTTAGTAAACATTTTGCATCCAATTCTGGAAGAGTTTGAGTTATTTTGAAATTTCTTGGGCAATTTGAAGGTATACAGTTTACAAAATAGAAGTATCTGATAAGTTTCATTGGGGCATCCCAGTTTGCCACCTATTCTTTGAAACATTAAACCCTGCATTACCTTTGATTATGAGACAGAGGAGAGCATGATAAATGTTTGTGTTTTTTTAATTTTATCTTTGAAGCTTGAGCCTCAAATCAATGAATGTAAGGATTAGTACATAGCTTTTAAAAATATAAATATATGATTTGATTTGTTTCTGGTAATTGGAGCTTGTTTTCCTTGTAACCCCATTTACCTCCTATAAATAATTAATGTTACTGCTCTGCGAAAACAGCCTAGGTTTCATGTTAATCAGCATGGAAATCATGTCAGCTTGACTTACTCACTTAATAAGGCTTCCTGGGTAAGCAGCTTTATTGAAAACACACATTGGAACTTATTGGTCAACTGGCTGCCCAGGCCAAGTCAGAAAATCCCACTTTTAATATGGATGATGGAGCTTGTGTGCTGAGCTGCACTTCTAACTCAGGCAGATATCCAGAGGGAGGATGAAGGACCTAATTAACTTTCTGCCAAAGTAACACAGATCTTCCAGAGGCAGGTGCACTCTGAAGTCAAAGAGAAGGGGATGGGCTTGGGAAACCTAATGCTCCCCGTGTAATTATGGTAACATTTGTGCAGCATTTTAAAGTTTACAGAGCACCTTTGCATCCATTACTTTATATGTTCTTTGTATCTCTTTGAGGGAGATAGAGATTGTTATGCTCATTTTATAGTCATGGTCACTGTGGGTAAGGCATACAGCTGGTAGAGCAGGACATAAAGTTCTTCTGATTCCAAATCCTAGGTTTTATGTTTTTTCTCCTTTCTTCTTCCGTCACAGCTACAGGAAGAAAGAAAAGTATTTTGACTTCAGGAGATGCAGATGAATAGTAGTAAGTCAGCAGGAGTGACCGTCTTCCAAAGGGACGCTAGTTTAGGTACTCTCTGAGGTGCCTGTTAACTTTCATATTTCGGGACTCCTTCCTCTTCCAATGTTTTCCTTATTGCTTTGATCCATTTATTCACCCACATTTTCTTCTTCATCCTTCTCCATTTCCTCCTCCTCTTCTTTCTCTCATCTTTATTATCACTGGGTCATACTTACATGCATGGAGAAAAGAACAGGAAGTAAAAGAAGGAAGGTATAAGAGAGGAGAGACTCCTACATTGCCTCTGGATTTGAGTGCTATCCCAGCCTGTGTATTTGGCCCTCATCACTGTTCCTATCCCTTGTACATCTGGACTCTTGCCAAGATGCATCAAAACTCACCCCCATCAAGAAGTGGGACTGGAAGAATAGAATAGACCACGCTTTGCCTTGAACATGTTTGGTGGTTTCTGTAATAGTCAAGGAGCTATTTTTAAATCAGATTATCAGTAGATATAAATGAAGAACCAACTGGCTTTGGCCAAAACAATAAAAAGGCAACCAATTTTCACCATTGTTCTCTTACTAACCATGGGAAGAACATAGATGGCTCCAGGTTAACTTCTTCTGTTCCCATAGGTACTGGTCTGTTCACTGTGAGAGTATCCCATGAGCATTAGCGTGGTTTCAAAAGAATGGGAGCTGGAATAACACGGATGTGGACTCGTCCCAATTCTTCTAATTCCTGGTTGTTGGTCTCAAACACATTACATGAGCTCTCTTCTTTCATTTCCCTTTTTATAAAATAAGGGTAAGCTATTTTTTACATGATTCTTGTAAGACAAATAAAAATATGAGAAAGGATTTTGTAACTTTAAATGCTGTAAAACATTATCCATATATTCATTTTGGGTTTTTTCTTGGGTTTTCTTATCTAAACTAGCCACATACACATTTGTTTATTCAAAAATAAAAATTGTTTCTCATGGGTAGATAAAGAAAATAGACTACTAATAGAGTACCTCTTATTATGTGCATGTTATCTCCTCTGATTAGCTTAGAAGATTATCTGACAATTGCCCAGTAGCCTGCCCTTTTTCCTAATGTTGGCTAGACAGCACAGATTCTGGAGTCAGATTACCTGGGTCAAAATTCAGCTTCACTACTTACTACATATATGTGACCTTAGGCAAGTTTCATAACCTTTATCTGCCCCATCTCCTCTTCTTTAAAATGGCAACAATAATAGTCCTACTTCATAGGATTATTGTGAGTATAAAATGAGTTAATATATTTAAAGCACTTTCAATGGTACCAGACATCATAAATTTCATGTGTTAGGTATTATTATTTCTAAACTTCACCCTGAGCCTTTCTGGCCACTTGGACAAGAATAACTATTCTTAATACCTGTGCTTAATATTGATTTCATATCAACAAAAGCCAATGGCTCCATTCAACACCCATTTCAAAAAACTCCTGATGCACCTACTCCCTTCAACCTCCTAATGAAACTAAGTATCAAAGGCCCTGTTCTGCTGCAAGGGGTGAGGAAACCGAATTTATCAGCTGTCTCCACTGGATTAACTAGAACTCTTCCTTTATATTCAAGAAGAAAGTTATCTCCCTAATTTTCATTCTGTTCTATATTTGGGAGAAAACTGTTGGTTGGACACTCCTACTCAGTCACATAAATTTTCAGGTTCATGAAGCTTCCGGTGGATTACAGACAACCTTTGGCACGCAGATATTTTTACCTTTGATAAAACATTGCAAATACGACTTTCCCACCAAAACCAAATGGCAGAGCTCTGAGGAGAAAATGAAGTGTCTCTCAAATAGAAGTAAAAGCCAAGACTCCTCTAAGAAAAAACGAACAAACAGAAAACTTTATCTGATCTTTTTCCACCTAAATATTTTCAAGGCATCAAAAAGGTTATCAGGCGGCAAAAAAAAGACAAGCACCCAGTTTTAGATTTGAGTACTGCAAATGTGTGTGGTGCAGTTCTGAGTGTCATTAAGAAAACCAACTGGGTTCTCTCCAGACCAGGCACCTGAATCTAATGTGACTTTTAGCCTGTTAAGGAACCATCTCAGAGGTGTGCTGAAAGAAGCGTGAAACTAAGACCGTCTTCCATCATTCACTTATTATACAAGCACAGAAAAATTACTTTAATTCTTTTACCTTTAGGGCAAAATGGAAGTAGTCATTTTGCCTTTTGCACATCATTTAGAATTTTTCATGAAAAGCAAGGAGATGATGCAAGCACAAGTGCTTTGTAAAATTGTTATACAAATACAAGGGCTGACGATTGTTTTATAGAAGCTCTTCAGGAAAGTCTGTAGTGCTCTCTCACAACATATCAAGATATACAATCTTCAGGTTTCCACAACTCCTAGAAAAGAAATTAGCTCCCCAAATATACTAGAAGCAGACTCAAATACGACAAAAATCAATGAATACTGGCTCTGGGGACAAAATCCATCCCCTCCCCCACATACATATAAACACATTCTGATCTTATAAATCCAATTTTAGCCTTTGATCTTGATATTTGGATTTTCATATACACCTACGCAATATATCCTTTTTTTTTTTTTTTTTCTTTAAAGATGACCGGTAAGGGGATCTTAACCCTTGACTTGGTGTTGTCAGCACCACGCTCTCCCTAGTGAGCCAGCCGGCCATCCCTATATAGGATCCGAACCCGTGGCCTTGGTGTTATCAGCACCGTGCTCTCCCGAGTGAGCCACGGGCCGCCCCCCACCTCCGTCAGCCCAGAAGAGGCTTGCCTCAACCTCTCCTCTGGGTCTATGGAAACTTCCCACACAAACTTTAGCAGCCCCAGTACCACTCCATCCGCTGGCTCACCTCAGTCAGTGGCAGTTCCTGGAGTGAACTCTGTCAATCTGTGTCCTGGAGGGCAGTCAGAGAAGCCAATTGCCCCTGACCATTCAGACTGTGGGAGAAGGAGGTGCTTTCAGCGATCCATGTTAAATCCAGGGGCTACCTATTAGAGATTCCACCAGGTCTGCTTTCTCTGACTGCTGCTCCCTCCTTGGAGTTCTGTATGCTCCTGCAGGACGCTTTGGGGCTGATGCCTTCGTAGCAGCTGGTTTAGTCGGTCTTCAGTACCTCTTCTCCCTGGTTAGCTCCCCAGGCTGGAGCTTTCAGGACCACAGCCTCTGGGCAGCTCCCGCGCTCTGGCTGGAGCCTCCGACTTGAGGCAGTTTTTGATTGTTCTCCCAGCTGACCAGGGAGGGGTGGGGCTGCCCTCAGTCTAACTCCTCCCCTTCCCCAGCCGAAAGACACGCCCACTTCAAAGGGCTCCTCTGGCCAGGGCCAGCTTTGCCACTCGTTTGTTCGTTCGTGTGTTGTTTGTTTAAATAGAGATGGGGATGGTGAAAGGGGAATAGAAAAGGAGAGTTGCTGAAGTTGAGGGGTAAAGAAAAAGAGGGCTGAAAACACTTATGGTTAAAAAGGTAAGAAGTGGGAGTGGATCAGGGTGGCAGAATGGGGAAAGAAAATTGGGGATAGATTTGGAGAGCGAGCTAAGGGCAAATGAAACTGCTGGCCCACATCTGAAAAGAATAAAAAGATGAGAAAGATACATGTTCAGGACACAGCACCAGTGACGGCTACCTAACAAAAGTGGATTGGTGTCTTTGGCTTTTAAACTTCAGAGTTCTAAAATTAGAATGAAGAAGTGTCTGTGTCTCCCTTCTTTTCAATAAGTCAAACTTATTCCCATCTAAAACTTTTTTGTTTTAATTTGTGAATATAGATAAAGCTACATTTGTTGTATTGTTCTTTCAACTTTATGTTTATTTGAAATTTATAAAAACAAAAGGAAAATAAATAAAACCCTTCATCTTCAGGACATTTAGCTTCTTGAACTACAAACTGGGATCCATTATTGTTTTTCAAAACTATGTCATTAAGCATTCAGGTAAAAATAAATAAATAAATAAAGCCTACCTAAGTGGTAATGAGTTTGGAAGGAAAGAAGAGTCATCACATAATTACTAAAACCCCTTTGATATTATGAGGTGGAATTAAGTTAGTAGGAGATAAAAAGAAAATTACATCTGGAATAATTTAAAGAAAATATATAAATATACATACTACCTTATTTAAAACTTTACCAAGGACAAATAAATAATTGTGAGTTCATTTCAAGATGTCAAGGATTTTGTAATCATCTAGTGATTCTAAGAAGGAAAACGATGATGCTTGGATTAAGCAATTAGCTGAATGATCTTGAGTAAGTCAACTTTACTCTGGGCATCAGTTTTCACATCTGTAAAATGAGCTGATCACTTAAGTTTTTTCCATCAGTAGCATGATAGAATTCTGAGTCCAAGCTCAACTTCTTTTTGAAATTGACTTGAAGAAAATTCCCCAGGATTTGGGGGAATCACTTGCTCTGCCAGTCTAACTGGCACATGTATCTAACAGAATTAAAGAGCTATAAATACACCTTGTGTACAAGGAATGATATGGAGGGTTAAAACAAAAAAAAAATAATTTTACTGCCAATAAATTTGAAAAGAATACCTTTGGTTTGACATTAGTTAATATTTTTTAAAAATTCTGAAATAGGTGTCTTCAAAGCCATGTCCATGGATTTATAAAAGTTGGTCATATTGATGGTGTTGGTGTCCTGCTTGTGAAATTTTCAGGGGGAGGAAAGAGTAGCAGATTAGCCAAAAGGTGAACATAAGATGAGGGTGAGACAGAGCATTCTGTGGAGGTTCTTGCTTTCTCTGACAGATGTAAGAGGCTGAACACAATAGGATTAGCCTCCAAAATGCATTCCATTGTGTGTCTGTGTGTGTGTGCATGTGCACACTCATGCAGCATTGGGAAGGAGTTAAGGACATTGAATTTTCTTTAAAAGCTGCCTTTTGCAGAGGGACGGTGGAATCTTTTTCATCAGGGTCACCCTCATTACAACTCCTTGATGGTTGTGCACTTGGCTGCTCAACTCTGAGGGGTAGGAAGGGGCAGAGGGGGGTGTGCAGCAGCAAAGGAAAAGAGGTGGCGACTGCCCTAAGAAAAGAGAATACAGAGTATTTGCATTTACTCTTCTCCTCCCACATGGTTCCTGAGCCAGAGGGCCCATCCCCAGCCCTTCCTTCTTTCTCGGCTGCTTTTTGTAAAGCTCTGAGCTAACCTGTTACAACCATCTGCTGAGTGGGAAAAGGAGACCAGAACTGAGTTGCTGGCCCACAGGCCTGACGCCGGGAGCCAGTGAAGCAGAGAGAAGGAAGGCAACAGGCAGATTTATGGGCAGCAATCTGTTCACCCTACCCCCACCCCAGGCCCCTCTGCCAGGAGACAACCTGATAATCCATCAACCTCACTAATGAATTAATTAGTATTCCCAGTAATCCTGTTCCCTAAAGGAGACCTGCCTGCGGGCCCCTAAGGGGGGCAAAAACTGCCTTCTTTGGCCAGAAACTGAAGACCTGGGACCAATGTCTGATATTAGGCCCCAGAGTGCTAAGCTGAAAGCCACAGATCCTGTCACTAACAGTCCCCAGATGTCCCTCCTTCTCACCTTCCCTTGGGAGACCACTAGCTTTTGCTGAATTAAAACCAATACTGCCAACAAATGGAGTCCAGAGGCATAAATCAGGAACAATAGAGAGTAGGAAGGTGAACTTCCAAGAAATAAATGATTCAGGCTGCCTGTATTTAGGATAAAATTTGAGCAGATCCTAAAGCTGCTTTCCAAGGACTAGGCACTGAGACCTGGGTCAAGGTTGGGGTGGGGTAGAATGTGAAGGAAACACAATCCCTGCCTCAAGAAGCTCAGTGTTCTGGTAGGGAAATGCTACAGCTTCAAAAATAATTGTGAAACAGGTTTTAAAAAGTGATTTGTTACATGAGCCTCTCTTGAATAAAGACTGGAGTAAAACACAGACGTGTCAGCTGGGTTTCTGAATAGTCTGGAGAATGGCACTGGGGAGATTCAGTAACCCTCCCTCACAACTGCAAAGCCCTTCACTCCTTCTAAAAACTCTGTGAGGCAGTGGGATGAAGAGAAAACACTTGAGAGGAAGGAAACCTGTGTTCTGAATCTTAGTTTGCCTCTGTGTGGCTGTGATGACTGCTCTAACCTCTCTGGGCCTCACGTTCTTCATTAGTCAAGGACCAGGTTGAATTATGATCTCTCAGGTTCCTTTTAGCTCTAACATTCAGAGTTGATGACATAGTTTAATGTCACAATTCCTTTTTGAGAGTGAATGATACTGGCCCATTCAATGGTGTGCAGACTGATTCCCCAGTTTTGAATAAGAAAATAAAGTAGGCTAGTGACAAAAGTGGGTCTAGAAAGCAGGTAATAAATTTGGGGGTCCTCTTCCTACCTAGATTATTAATCCGTATTGGGAAGGACACATGATTCAAACTTCTCTTACACCATTCATTCAAGGTCTGTGTGTTTGGAAATACACAGGGTATAGAGTGACTCATTCCAGCTAAACAAAACTACCTGCATTTGTTTAAATCTGCTGGGAAACATCTGTACCTTTGAAGTTCTGTGTCATCAGCCTTCAGCATCTCTGTCTCCACTTTCTATACCCAATCTCTAAGAGCAAAGCCCTCTAGGATTTAATTGAATCCTAACATTGTCATTTACTAACCATGTGACTTCAGACAAGTCATTTATCTCGCTGGGCCTCAGTTTCTTCACCTGTAAGTTGGAGGTAATAATGCTTACCCAGTAAACTTGCTCTGAGAAGTATGTATGAGAGAATATGTGCAAAGTACCTAGCATAGGCTCTGGCACTTAGCAAGTGCTCAATAAATGGGAGTTATTATTAGAAGCTCATCGTAAACATTGAAATCTGATTTATCACCCCTTAGAAATTAAGGGAGGACCAGCCCCATGGCTCACTCGGAAGAGTGTGGTGCTGATAGCACCAAGGCTGCGGGTTCGGATCCTATATAGGGATGGCCAGTGCGCTCACTGGCTGAGCGTGGTACGGATGACACCAAGTCAAGGGTTGCAATCCCCTTACCGGTCAAAAAAAAAAAAAGAAACTAAGGGAAAACTAATGTCAGGATCTCCTTATAGAGGTCTTGTCTCTGTGCTCCTATCTCAATTCAAGTATATCTTTATTAAAATAATGACCACACTATATTAATTTACCCAACAAATGTGTTTTGTACATGTATAAAGCCCTAGGCACTGTACAAGATTCTGTGAATACGGAGCTGAATAAAATTTCTCATTCCTAACCAACTTTCAGTACAGTAGCAGAGGCAGAAAACAAAATATATAAATATAATCCAAAAACTCTACTTTTCTGTGTTTGACTTTCTAACATAATCATATGTATGTCCAAGGAGCCATTATGAAGCAAAAATCTTAATTTCAGTAAAATTAAATGAAAAATGTATTATCGATGCACTAAGTAACCAATGATTTAGCCAAACAATGGAATACCATTGCATTTGCATGAGTTGGTCTATACATACTAATAAGAAATGTACTACATGTACTAACATGCTGTGGGGAGAAATGCAAAACAAATTATAGAGTTATAGGGTTAATACGATACACTTAATTTTAAAAATGTACACCATACATTAAATAATACCTGTATTTTAAAGATATATATATACGCACACAAACTGATAATGGTGAGTCTCTATCTCAGGATATCTCGGACTAAGATAAAGAAGATTGAGGTTGGGTAGTTATCAAATGAGATTGTTTTCTTTCTGTACAAGTATAATCTACTTACACATAACCTGTGAAAGTGAAATTAATTGCAAAACATAATTAACATGTACTATATTTTTAAAAAGTAAAATATGTTATCTTATATGTAAAATCCCATTCCCCACTCATAGCCAAACTTATTTTCAGGAAGGTATCTGATAACCACAGCGCACAACACCAAACACTGAAGTGTATGTGCTAATATGACTCCTCCATGAAAAGATCTCTACGTTCACTCCCACCAGCTCTCCCCTCACACACACAGCCTCAGGGGCATTCGCCTATCTTAGGAGCAAACAGTAAGTTGAATTTAAGAGGCTTAAGTCATGTGACTCAAACCCTGAGAAATATATGGCAGAGGGCAGTGAGGGTTTCCTGAGAATCCAGATTTAATTTGTACCACTGTCAAAAAAAA